ATGAGGTTTACGTCCTGACCGAAGACAGGAGACCGCCGGTTAGGAACCTCAATGGGAGCTCATAAGTGGTAGCACCGGGGACGGCGCTAAAAGGACGAGGGGGCTATGTAATACTTATGTTGTTTGAATTTGCCCTTCAGGGAGGAGGCAAGCAGAAAATTCGAACCTGGTAACTGGGTCGCCCTCTCCCTTACCTAGTGACTGCGGCTCCCCTCCTTCTTGAATATTGTATTTTCCCTATACATCTTGTCGTCTTTAATAAAGATGTCCAAAGTAAACCAACCGGGCTTGTCTAGGAACGCTAGGAATCGGGAAGCGGAGACCGAGGAGTCTCGCTCCACAATTTAATTGAGTCAAGATCAACACAATGTTTTAGCAACATGGCTAAGAAAGGGATGAAGAACATTCAAAATTGCTTGACTAGTTGCTCTAGATGATGAAAAATTATATTGCTTTTAAGACTATTGTGACGATGTGGAAATAAATGTGAACAACAGATACACAGCTTTGAACAACTGTTAAAACTACATAAAGAAGATTTGCATCTTAGCAGATTTCGCTTATAGTATGGCACACTAAAATACGAAATTACTGGATTTATGAACCGAATTTTCAATAGTTCTTAGCTGTTGCAAACAAAGTTTTACTCATGGGTTATCCAACATACTTCATTCTTACTGGCTGGTTTTGACTTTATGCTTTCGGTGTTCCGATAGGTCTGTTGACAGTTTTGGGATTTTGTCGTTACTTGTCGTGCTGTTCGCTGATGTCGAGTGGCGTTCCCTTTGGCGTTATTTAACATTAATTTGTCTTGAGTCCGGAGCACTTACAGTTGAAGCTAGTCTGTTTTTCATCAGACCATAATGTCAACGAACCGACCGCGACGCCTTGCGGCTCAGTAAGCTTTCTGTTTATTGTTCCAATATTTTGCAAACCAGAAAGGCTATGTCATCTTTTGCAATGCCTGAGAGCGATGAGGACAGTGTTCTCAGTTCAAAGAGTCAACATTCAGACTTCAATGCATCGGAGGAAGCGTCTTCACCTTCGTCCACTTCTTCGAGTAGCCCTGATTCTACTGAATCTCCTTTGGAAGATGCTGTTTCTGAAGAAAATCACAGTCAATTTAGACGACTAGACAGTGACACTCGTGGTCCGTGTGTTCCTTCAGTCTCGCGTATTCTCCCTCCTTTCGGTAGAGTCGGTTTTACCTCGGAAAAACCTCGTAAAATCGCATTAGATATTTTCCAGGAAGACTTGAATTACCACACATCCCTTTGCAGCATGCAGTTACATCCATTCTCTTTCTTTTCGCCGTAATTTGTTGGTCACTCATAATAAGCATCTTTAGAAAGTCCGGATTATCAGAGGTGTCCACATTCCTGCAGAGACAGCGCATGCTCTTCTCCCTAAACTCCTTGACACCTGTTCCCGAGAAGTATGCTATGGAAATACCATTTGGTATATTATTATGTTTAGTGAATTGGCGAAGTATATGCCGGAGTCTTCGAAAAGTCCCACCATGGTATTCTTGGATGAGCAAAAGAGGGTGGAGACGTCGCGTTTTTACTTTAATCAAGGTAATTAATCTTTAGTAAACCCAATCTTTTTACGTATCTGCTGTTTGGATTCTCATCTTGTGATATCAACATTTTTTATGTCCAGCTCTGGACTATTCAGTGCTTTAGTAATGATTAAACCTGCCATTTACATCCCTGCATATTTTTGAGGCTTTGAGGAGAATGAATCCAAATTTATGGTATTTTACTAAAGCACTTTTTTGTGTTTTTAGCTCACAATGTTCTCTACACGGGTGGCTATGTGAAATGCCTTTCCTGGTCGCCACCTTATGTGGATGAGAAAGGTGTTTCGTTATCTTTTGTGCCGGGTTATTTGGCCATCGCCTCCCATACCAACATCGGTACTCGAGTTAATCTAAGTGATCCCATCACTTCTGACTTCGGTCTTATCCATATCTGGTCTTGCAACGACTTGACTCTCACTGCTAAGTAGGTTGTTCCTTTTTTAATGGAAGTTTTATACTTTAATACTGGCATTTCCATTTGAACCATGTAGTACCATTGATAGTTCGAGTAAACTGCAAGTGTAACCAGTTCATGTGCAAAGCCTTCCTTAACCCTACTTAACGCAGCTCTCGTGGCAAAATCCATCACTTAGCACCAAGCATCCGCTGTCGCAGAGTGAACAGGTCGTTTGAGTACAAGACAGGTCCATGCTCCCCACTCCTAAGTTTTAGGTCGCAAAGCGTGTTAAATTTCAATCTAAGTCCCGTATGGACCCATTTTGTGTTAATTTATCTGTCCTTTACCGCGTCTCTCATCTTGCCGTTCTTTAGACAATCATGCCCTCAGTTGAAGCCGCACTTTTTCCTCGCTCATAACTGGGGTCATGTGATGGATTTGCGATGGTTGCCTGTGCCTGTTCAGTGCGCGAACCGTTCGGATGAGTGCGAACTGACCCGTCTCCTGCCTTCGGTGAACATGACTCCCAAGCAGATCGCCCAGCTTATTGAGGCCGTGGTGGGTCATCTGGTTGCCGCCTGTACCGACGGATTTGTTCGCGTTTTCCTAGTTCCTGCGGTGGACAATCGGTTTAACTTGCCGGAGGAGTTTAAAGTGGTGCTCCCTACCAAAATATCATTTGATGGAGTGCCCCAAAACGTCTACCAGTTTAAACCAAAAACAGTGCTTCGATTGGCACCTAGCACAGGTAATTCTGAGATCCTTTTTTTTCTTGCATCTCTAAGTTGAGAAGTTTTTGGTTATTTTACTTCCGCCCTTCGTGTAGATATTCCCTCGTGGTTGGGGTGGCCAAACGTGCTTGCCATACGAAGTGATTTCCCACATCGTCTTGTGGTCGGTTATACAAGTGGTATGTACAAGGACCATTAATTTCATTTGTATACGCTGATGCTTTGATTACATGACATTTTGTGTCCCTTCATCCCCACGTTAGGTCACCTAGGTCTCTACAACCTTTCTACATTGAATACACACTTTGCAAAGTTGAATGATTGTCTCTTACGGCCGATAATTCTCACTCATCTCATTCCTGGACCCTTCACTTCTATTGCTCTCCACCCGCTTTATGAAGGCATCGTTGTCGGACTTGGTAGGTCAAAAGTCTTTTGACAAACCATCCTGATACTTGCGAGTGCCCCACGCCTGGCTTCATGCGTCATGTGGTCAATATTAGGAGTGGAACCTATAGATACCTCAAGAAATACGATTTAGTGTCCCTATTCATATTGACGAAGCTGCTAATTATACCTTGATGCACCACTTAAATCTTCAGACTCGGATGCCTAGCTAGCACCTCCTGTGTGCTTGCGTGTGTTTATGTAGGGCTGGACCGAGAGATAAACGTGTGGGATCTAGGAGATCCGGGGTGTGTGCAATGTGGTCTACCAGAACTCTCCTGGCCCACCCTACGCATGGGCTGGGGCGGCTGCGTAGTGTGGCCGCGAGCCAGTGATAGTATCTGGGTTGGACGTGAGGAGTACCTCTTCCCCTTCTCCAAAAAGAGTACACCCGGAGGTGCTGTCACTCTGGCCAGCCTCAAGAAGCCCTCCGATGTGCCCGCCCGCATGCGCGCTTATACCGCCTGGTTCCCCACCGTTTCCCCTATCGACTGCTCCCGTTACTGCTTCGAGCGCGGATTCGAAGCCACCACTGTGAGTATGACATCCTCTTTTCTGTTGAAGCTTAACTCCTGCTTATCTCAGTCGGCTTTCGCTGTACCCAAACTATTGTTTATGATTTTCTTCGTAAATCGTTAGATTTTTCAAACTTTTTTCAGGTTTGCATTATCAAGGCCTACTTATAATTTGTAAACGGATATGTGCTGGACCTCATAAATTGTCGCCCAAATCTAGGCCCGAAGTCGATCTTCTTTTTGCTTAAATACTAAAGGGAGGTGTTTATAAGATGATTCAGATGTTTCTCATGAATGTAGTGTGGATGCGACAAAAGTAATTCTCTTGCAAGTCTAGTTAGCTGCTTAAAATGCCTCAATGGATTTACCTTTTCTAAGTTATGGGTAGAACTGAGTAGTTGAGCTTGTAACTAACTCAATAGTCCTGTATTCATACTTTTCCGTCTTTTTTTCTCGAATACCAATGAAAATGTTCGTTTCTGTAATCGACAGATGATTTCCGTAAAATGTGGTGTAAGTTTTGTAATAAAATGCCGGTATGAGTTCAGTAATCTATTTGAAATTTATCGTAATAGTTTTGGCGTTTTGTTTTCAATTTAGTGTCTCGATTACTCCGATTCATTTGGATTCCTTATACAAGGCGACGCAAACGGCCAGATTAACTTCCATTCCTGGGTGCTGGATCCACGGCGCGTGATGCGGGAGAAGACCCGTCTTGCAATTCAAGTAAGCCTCCCATGCACTTGCTGAAGCCGAACGAATTCCTTCTATGCATTAATAGAAAAGAAAGAAAATTGTAGTTTCTAGGTGATTACGTTATTCAGCAGCATTTGCTCTCCTTTTTCCCTTACGAAAGAAGAAACACCGAACATATCAGTGGATTATGCGAAAGCGGACCGGCACACGAGGGTGTGGCAATGAGGCGTCGACAACCCGAAACTTCATCGACGAGCACACCGCTCTTAACTTGAATGCCCCCGAAGAGCCCTTTGAGGAGGAAATTCGACAAGGCTGCGAGCTCTGTGGCGAAAGTGGACAGACCCTCTGTTGGCATAAGGTGGATCGGTATTTCGAATTCGTATTCAGGGTAAATTCTGCCTCGCTAATTTCTGTTACTTTTAAAAGTCCCTTACATTACTAAGGCGCAGTCTACCTTTGTAATTGTTTTTTTTTCCTCTATAGGAAGGCGTGGGACTACAGAAGAGCAAATATGACTTCGTTAACTCTACTTTTTCCAGTATAAGCAAGGTAGGTTAAATGTTCCTACGATACCTTTTATTGATATGTTTTTGTGACTCACTACTATTAATTCCATGTCGATACCCCCATCCATTTATTGATGTTCAGTTAATCCTAACAACGGTTAATAAATTGAGCATAATCTTTTGACTGTCAAAGCAAGCATTGCTTAAAATGTTATTTATTAGAGATGCTTGTAAGCTCATCGAAATGTGTTCCTCCGCCCTTGCTAGGTGGCCGTATCGCCCAACCCCGGATCGGCTAGTTGGATAGCAGTGGGCACGGGGTTCGGTGTGGTGCAGCTGCTGTGTCACGAGCAGTTTTACCACCCTGGCATGGACTCGGCCTTGGGGCGCACGCCGCTGCCCGGAGGGCCTGCAAAGGGCAGCTTCTTTGTGCCCTCAGGGGGCGCCGACACTGACCCCTCTTGCTCTGATTCTGACCACTCCGACAGCGAAGCCACCGTCCCTTTTCGAAGGGTGGATCAGTAAGACTACGAGGTTTTCATCGTGCTTGGCCGTCTTTTTGTGTGTAATAGTTTCTGTACATGGACATTGACACACATCTGTAAGCTGGGGGCTCACCTGCCGCACTCTGGTGGGACGTTTTATTTTAATAAACTATTTATATCGTTTTTCGGATCGTCGTAGGATAAAATGTTTCTTTGTTACCAACGCGGATGATTTGGCAGGCCCTCGGGATAGACCAATCCGGAGAGGCTGGATGATGTGTATCGTAACCGGACGAAATGCTCCTTAATCTCAGTTTCAAAATCTGTAACTCGAAGCAGAAAGTGATGCGCGTATTTTGTGAATTTTAATTGCAGAGTGGCTTGCTGCAATTGTATAGGGGGCAAGAATCGTGGTTTGGTGTATAAAAACTTTATGTCAAAAAATCCTCAAATGACATTTGTTGCCGGTTCACGCGCTTCACTGTCAAAAGGTTCCATTGCACCTCCTGTTCGTTCAATAATTTCAGTGATTGTAAACGATCGTCCTAGAGATAGGAAAACAACATCACTTATTTTTATTGGTCAAGTTACAGTTTATCAAGCCAATCTGGTTTCGGTTCAGGTAATTGTCCCACAGACAAGCCCAAACATCAATCTATTTTCAGTTGACGCCTGAATTTGATTTCAAGTCTTCACGTAAGTTGATTACGCAACGCTACTTCGTTCACAAGGTTATCTTCATGATGACTTATTTCACAATGGTACAGAACGAAGAGTGAATATGCAGGTCAAACAAAATGCAGTTAACGATCAAGTCGGTCGCTTTATGACCTCACCTTTTGGGATATTGTACGTAATTTCCAGACCGTCTGGGTTTGATGGTGTTTTACAGTCATTCGAAGGATCCTTCCGCAGACACGTGTCAACTTCCACTGAGCTGAAGTACGCGACCGACTACGATAAAACATGCGCATGTTACCATTGTTGGTTCGAAAATAAACGGCATAATATAGTTAGAAAGCCCACCTCCGGCAAGTCATGCATTCCTAGTTGAAAGGCGAAGAGTGCTCGAGTTAACAGGTTGCTTATCTGAAAAGACGATAACGAAATGGTAATTTGTAATAATGATAAAGGCGTAAGTAAAAAGGGAGTCTGTGGACCTGGAGGGCAAGAGCCATCTGATCGGCGCATCGTTGGTCGCAGAGATAGCGGACTTCATCATGAATGCTGATGCATAGGCGAGCTCGTAGGCTGTACTTCTTTATCAACCAAGCCATGAACACAAGAAGGCAGTGGAGGTAGTCGACTGCCGAACTTTGTACCACCCAATTTATGCGACTGGGGAGAAACTTGGTGAAAAAAAGGCACAAAAATGATAAAAACCTGCCCCAGAAAACGATGCGAAAGGGTGATGAATCTTCTCAAAGGTTATCTTCACCCAAATCGTGTCGCAATGGTGCAAAATGCGACGAAGAAGGAAGCTTACATCGTCCTTGACAACCGTAGGAGTTAATGTTTTGGTTATCTGAGCGCCGAGTACCGGAGTTCGCGGTTCGGGGCTTCGAGCAATCGCCTCTAGTGCATTGAACACACAGGACTCTGTTCCATCCTTCCAAATGTATCTCGTCTCCGCCTCTTCCTTACAGCCTTTCCCCATATGCACTGGAACCCGGTGTCCTTTCGTCGCTCGCATCAACTTCTCCGCCTTCAAGCTGGCCTCCTCAGGCTGTTGAAGATAAATCAAACCATCATACTTCGTTACACTCCACTAGGAATGGTGGACAGATCGTCTGACAGGGTAAATTTGTCAAGCCGTGGGTTACTATCATTGACTTGGTTAGGGAGCATACATCGTAGTAAATAAAACTTGAGTGCCGTTCTTAACATCAGCTGTCTACCAATGCCTACATCATGAAAAATTTCTGCAAAGAATACTGTGTGTTAACAATCAGAATTTTGGAAATAGTAAAATAGAAACCACCATGGCTTTTTGGTTCCATGAAGCCAGTGCTGGCTTAATAACAGGATGGCATGAAAGTAGATCAGGGCAATACTAGGCCGCAAATTACACGTAAGTTTGATTGGAACTTGGACAGCAGATGCTTGGTAAACTCCAGTCCCGAGCCGTAAAGGCGAGCATAATTTAGAATTTTGGCTTCGTTGCGCTTGATTCCAATAAGATTCGCTGTCTTGGTGTGCAAGTCCGTACCCTTGGCTTTGCTACCTTCAAGGGTCATCCAACCATAGGGAGTTCCGCCTATTCAATTTTAATGAAGAGGATTATAAAAGATGGGAATGATAATTAAAAATAGCCTTGGATAAAGCAGGCCTTTACCGAATAAAGACGACTACATCTGCAAAGAGCATTAAGTGAAATGAGTTAATATCAGAATCACCACCAAACGAAAGCTAATTGTTGGATGTCAGAATAGAAAAACACTTCGGCACGCCCAGAACAAAACATTTTTTCAACGAATAAAATTGAACTAAACTATCTGTCACTAAAACTCTCATGGCGCTTTAAGAATTACGGGATGATGGTAATTTAATGCATATTCCCGCAGTTAATTTGAAAACAAGGTCACTCATCTGCACTCTTGTCAATTGAATACATTTTTCAAGGGAACAAGTACTTGGTATTTATTTTGTGCAACACCCAAAAAAAAAACTTTTGAATACCACAATATAGAGCGTTTGAGTCGGATTTTATGCACCTTTCTGGAGGTTCTAAAAATCCTTGCAAAACGTTTCAAAATACATCACTACAAATAATGCTACAATAATAAAATATTATTCAAGCGCACAAGATGGCATTGTTATTGGTCCATACAGAGAGTTGAAACTTTCGTCTACAGCCCGGCAGTCATATCTTATTTCGATTTGAGAATATACGCTTTCTGAGAATAACCACGCCAAGGTGATAGTCAATTCGACCAGATTGGTTTAAGGAACAACGACAACTATAAATAGCAGCGCTGGCATCAACGAAATATTTTGGGCACTTTGATCACGATGCCACATATTGAAGTAGTGGGGAAATCATGTGGACTAGTTGCAAAACAATGAAATCAGACCAAAGTGGGAGGGAGGGGGACGAGGAGTAACCTACCCTGGAAGCCGACTACCGAGTCGCCGATTAGAGAGGCAATCCACATCTCCTGCGAGTCGACATCGGCTCCCACGAGACAAAATCCGGGAGGCGCCTGCACCAGCGCCTTGATCTCGCTGCCCAGGCGCTCGCGTTCAGCATTGCTGGCGGTGAGCCAGAGTGGTTCCACCGCGCGCCGCGATATGGTACCCGCCGCTATTACCTGCGGCAATATTGCCCCGTACCTGCGGCCGAATGGCACCTTTCCATTCCTAAGGGCTCTGAAATAACGCTTAGAGTAAGTCAAAATATACGCGTTAATGATCGAGAACCTAAATTCCTTTCAATTCCAACAGAGGGTTTGAAGGCCTGGTCCCCCCTTCACATGAAAGAGGGGCACGAAGTCTAAGTAAACAATCAACGGTAAAGCTATGAAGCGCGCACAATGTTGCATCCAAATGTATTTGTAGAAAAATTTTTATGCACAGCCGGTTATAAGGTGCTGTAAAAACCCAAACTTGGTAATACAAAACTATGTAACAATTGGAGTTTGTGTCTACTTTGTAACAGACGAAAATTAGACATAAAACACCCACACAAAAGAATTCGTAAAAAAATACGCATAAAACTAATAAAGTGATGTATTATCAGAAATCATGCCACTGTAATTAAACACTATAGTCAAGTCCAGTGGGAAATGAAGTAGTTATTGGCATTCAGTGCGCCCTCGAATGGCAATTCTGATGAGTTTTGGGGTTGAAAAGCCTCTAAGCATCCTCCGATCACCATGACCCGTGCAATTAATGTTGATGGGATGAAAGGAGCAGATCAACAATAATGGGCATAGGGGAACTTACGTTTGGACAGTAGGTGGAAGTAGGTTTGTTTCAAGAAATACATACATTTGTGACCTAGGAATGTTAGAAATAGGTAAGTAAAGGCATTAAAGATCTCCGCAGTAAGCAATGAAGTATAATAAGGGAAACTGAGGAGACATTTGGAAATACGAATTATGTAAATTTAGTCTAATAGGTGCATTAATCCAAGACGAGGATAATGCGACCAATCTTCTTGTCATAGGGGTATTTGTAAATGACCTAGAGTTGTTTACAGTAGGGTAGAAGAAAATTCGGCCATACTACAACATCGCTGATTGTAGGCATGGACTCCGGTGTGTGAACAGTTAAGATACAACCGATAAGCACCAGCAAGTATCACTTAAATATGAACAGGACAACACGGCGTGAGAAAGCGGTATACACACATGACGCGCTTGGAATAGCTCTGCCAGAAGGAGGCGCGAATGCGATCACGGAGAATTTGATCGGCAGAATGATCCTCGCCCCCACCAGCCGTGGGAGAGCTGTACAGACGACCCGAGGCTATGTGCACCTGAAAGGGCTTCGAGAGGGGTGACCCTACCGGTAGTCCCGTACCAGCCTACAAAAAATCGCCACTGTGTTGTAAACACAACACTCAAAGTCTAAGCAAACTGAAACACGCCATGCGTCGCACTTTATCACTATTTGACTTCTAAATTTTGTCACTCATAGTCACAATGATTCCGCTTTCCTTTTCACATCGTAAGTTATTTACATTATACCATAACAGATTAGGTGACGAAATTGGGATGGCAATTTCACTAAATGTTTATATAGAGATTCCGAAACATAAAATAAACAATTTATGGCCTTTTGTGATTACCACTAATAAACCTTGTGCTAAATGTTTCGACAAAATTGCTTGCCTGGACTGCCAAAAATAGGCCTTTGTTAAGCTATTTCAGAGTGCAGCTGTCAAAAGTGGGTGCAACGTAATTAAAATCCCGTCATTTTAAAGTTGCATTAAGCACTAAAAAGACACTGTAGAAGGGATATGGAGAGAAAAGTTAAAGCAAAAAACGACCTCGTTGGGAAGAGGACAGAACCAGCATGTAGGAATCTCTGGATTGATTGTATCTGTGGCGGAGCGACGGAGTTTCTTTCGGCGACTAGCCGATATCCATTTAACCGAGTGGTCCGTTTCGTAGCGATCCTTATTTCCCCAAAATAGAGCGCCCTTTGCCTAGGCACCACTGAATGAAGCAATCGAGTGTTGCAGTGCAACTATATTTGAAAATGACAGTTACTTACCTGAAGTTCCCCCAAGTTTTCGTATACTGGGGGCAAGGAATTCTAAAACCAAATGGAGTAATTTTATTCAGAAGGCATGAATGTTTAAAGACGCGATACAAAAGAAACTATACTGATATTTTTAACCGATAGAATATCGTTACAGGAATACTGCTCATTTGGTTAAACCAGATGACAAAAAGCTTTTATGAAACGAATCTACCATTGCCAGTTGTTAATATGCTTATTTAAGTCACTTAATGTGCTAGAAAAAAGGCGAAAGCTCACTACTAGATGAAGTGGGACAATTTTTGCAAGAACAAATTCAATAAATCGGGCAGAATGGTTTGAAGGGGCTAGAGATGCAAGGTGAAAATAAGACTGAGTCATCACTTCGGTGGATAAACAGCATAAACAGAAGAACTTTAGGAACCAAGGTTACTATAATAATTTCAGAGAGAGATAAGAAGTGAGAGAAAACAACAGATATTTACAAGCTTGATAAGTAAAAGAGTGGCTAACAAGATCTCACTTACCTTTGATTTAACTTGTTCCCCACGATCATTATCAGATATCTTTTTGAGAGACGAAACAAGATGATTTACAGTATCCAAGTCAAGTGGCATCACTTCCACGCTGCGACGCAGTTCATCCAGCAGCAGATCATCACGAGCATCGGGATTTGCACGAGTCTCAAACGCCCTGCGCGAATTCACACCGCATAGACGTTCCTCCATTTCCTTCGTCCAATACTTAAGATATTCTCTGTGATAAAAATCAGCTCAATTGTAATAGAAAAGCAGTTAAAATGGTGAAATACAGGCAACCATAGGCACCTATAGGGAAATATGAGCTCATCCGGACCAGTTGCAGACATTTTGGTAACCTTAAAGACAGGTAGAATTTGGCTTCTTGTAGATTCGTCAGATTGCTTTTGTTCGTAGTACCGAGGATCGCCAACCGGTTTTGGTACTCTTCCGGGAATAAGTGTACCCCATTTCAATATCTGCATTGATAACATAGACGAAACAAATAAGTACTTGGTCGTAGTGAAGTGGTAGGCCCTTCCAACAAAGACGGAGTAATTTGGGTGCGATCTTCATTTGCGCTGTTATCAACGCGGGTCCGCTCTTGTAGTTATCTTTTATAGGTTTTGGAATAAGCTCGCGGTACCACCTAAATATTCCGATGTCAAATTACATTAAAAGAGGGCTTACTTCGGTAAATTAGCAAGAATTTGTGCGCTTTCTGATTTCTAAAATTGTAAATATATTACGGCAAGAAAATGCATGAAGTAAAAAGGACAAATAGCCTACATTCGCTGGTTTTTTTGGTTTCGACCAATCTAAATCCCAGAGCCAAGGATCCTTTTCATAGCTATACGCAATTCAAAGAGGATGATAGCAGTAAGCAACCAGACCATTGAGGAGATATAGATTTGTACTTGGAAAAGTACCTTTTGTCACTTCCGTTATGCTTTTGCAAAGCGTCTTCAGCTAGTCGCTGAAGAAGCACTTTTTGCTTTGTGTTCAAATCATCATAAGACTGATTTGCACGTTCCTGAAAATCAATCCAGGACGAATTAATGGGCAGGTACATGCTACCCATTTCAAGCAATCCATAGAAGGTAGCGGGATGAGGAAATCTGACAGAATGATGGACATTAAAGCAGGCCAGCAATATAAGTGGTGCAATAAACGGGTGACATACCGTTCTTGGTAGAGTTTCCAGAGATTTCGAAAAGTTTCAAATGTCATTTTAACATCGTTTGCGCAGTAGGTGGCAAGAGCCTAAGTTTAAGAGAAAACAATTAGATCGATCAAAGCAGATATTAAAAAATGGTCGGTAATCTTTACCTGAAAATTGTCAATTACATCTCCCCTAGAGCCCTTCTCAAATACCGCACGTAACTCCTTATTTTGATAAGGTTCCTTTTGACAGTAGAATTTAAAAACATCAAGAAGACTGTTTAGGCTTGCATCTTTAATCCAGTCCAAAGACTACAAGCAAGTAAAAAAATTAGTTGATTCGAACCTCTGGATCATTGGAGCCCCGTTTCGCATTGTGCTCTGCAACGAAGTCCTTCCACAATTTATTATTATAAAGGTGTTTATCAGACGCCAATTTCAAATTTCTCTGCGTGCTGGTAAGACCGGAAACGCAAATATGCAAGGACATTGTGTCTAGAAACCGAAGCCCGGTGGGCTACGCAATAAATAATACTCTTAACTTACTTCAATCAGGTATTCTTCAAAAATTCTTGCACGGTCATAGCTGACAAAGTGTCCGATAATACATTTTGGAGAGGATAACGCACTGCCATCAGAATAAAATCGGATAAGATCATCTATTGTAACAGAATTCGTTGATCTCATAGATGACAGTAATCTAGGGGAAACCCAGAGATACCAGAAATTTGGAGATGCCGCAACAGCAATAACAGGAGCGTGACCTTCGTTCACTAAGACCTCAGTATCAAAAACTAGGATATCATCTGGAGGACAACTGACTCTAAAGTACGAGTCCTTCGTGTACGCTGTCCAGCCCGATAGTAATTTCCAGTTCTTTGGGATTTCAGGAAGCAAGGATAGCCTTCCGATAAGTTGTAGGTACGGCTTTGATAAGTCGGATGCAATTAATTCAAAATGCTCCTTGATATTTGAACCCAAGAAGGGAGGCAAGTCAACGTAATGTGAAGTCTCTCCTTCACGACGATCAATCGCATTAATTCCATGACTCCGAAGTTTCTCACAGGCTTCTTTAGACAATTCATATGAATAAATGCGCTTTGCGAACAACAGTTGTTGCAAACGTCTGTCAATCATTTGAATATTTACTTCGTTAAAAACCAGCTCCTGCTTATTACGCCTTATTACTTTTGCAGAAGCAAGTTGCCGAACAAACAGTTTCAATACAAAATTCCGTCCCATCCTGCAAAACACACTTAAAGTTTCACATTAATTGGTTCATATGAATGGAATGTAGCCACCGCCTTTCGAAGGCTTTATAGAAGTCCTTAGTAATGATTCATATAAAGATTAGCAATAATTAAGAATACTGTCTGTTCTATTCCTAAATATTATATATTTTTATTCAACCAGAAGGCAGCTTTCTGATGAAAAAAAATTAATGCTTTTGATGCCAAGTTAATTTTTTTGCCTACACTTGCTGTTACGCCACTAATGAAATTCTTTCACTTTGGTTACGCAATCGCTCAACGTTTACGTGTTTTAAGAGCTCTAATACAATCAATTAAGCAATATTGAGTTTGCAGAAGGACCAATCAGCAAAAAGGAAATCTTTCAACATCTAAATTGCTTCAACACCCATAAAAACTTCCAATTTGTCAGGTGTAGCTAGTTCTCCTATACCAATGACGCGTAATGTGACTTCCATTATTAAACAGCTTACTTCTTAGCTCCATTACCACACATGGTCATGTTGCCATGCAGCAGAAGCCATGACCCAGCTGTTACGAACGGTTTCGAGTCCCTGTCAACACTGTCTTCGTAGGTTTGAGCAAAACTAGCTTTCCCTGAAATTACAAGCCATCCTAGGACCGTAGTGTGTCTACCAAAAACAAGCCTTCCCAACCCAAACCGATGCAACTGTAACTTGCTTCGCCGTCTTCCTGTAGGTTACTAAAAATTACGTCAGTGACCGCTTTGAACGAGGTTCAGCAAGCTACCCCCAAATGATGGTAGCAACGGTGCCAGATCTAGCCCTCACCCACTGAAATCAGTCGTTTGATTCTGTTCAGTAAAACGAAACAAGACCTCTATCCCAAGAAATGTGAATACGCAGAAAATTTGCATGGGAAATGTCCTCCTCCGAATAGCACCCTTGTTGTGCAAAACCATGACGATTCACTGAAAAATCGAGGCGTACTTGTCTATTTATTGTTCTATAAGGTCGGTACGGTGAGGCAAGTCGAGCTATGCAGTGCATGAACCTTACAAAAAAACAAACAATGTATTCGAAAAATCCATGATTCCTGCAAGGGAATATGCCAAGCTCACACATTAATGCGCTTGACGACAGCCTTTTTGCCCGGAAATGGCGCTTCTGGAGGAATGGAGGGGGCTATAAAAGCGCAGAAAATGGCAAACGTTGTGAGAAATGGAAATAGAGTGGAATAACAGAGGCCGCGAGAGAGAGTGAATAACCTTGAATCACGAAGTCAGGGGATGGCGGCAGCCGTGACATTCGACTGTTCTGTCTGCACTCCTTCAGCAGATGCACCCGCCATGCGTCTTCGTTGTTGCTGCCCTGCACTCCATCGTCAGCCAGGTCGGCGTGGCAGAGGGGGCAGCGCAGTGAAGGATTTGGTGCCATTTTGCATGAGTTGTGCGCGATGAAGGTGGCGTTTGGAATGGCTTCGCTGCAACGCTCACAACGCCGATAACCGCCCAAATTATTGGCCTTGGGACACTCGTTCAACAAGTGCTCTGTCAATCCGGAAACCTCAATAACCTATGAGAGAAATAAGTGGATTAGCCAACCAACAAGTCATACAAACGCAAAAAAAAACACCCGGTATGAAGCATGACGAAGTAATTATTCACACCTGTTTGCAATTAGGGCAGCGCCTCAGCATAGGACACGCCTTCCAGTAGTGCATATCGAGTGCCTCCTCAGTGAAGTCATCATTTTGTTCCCCACAGAAGATGCAAGTCTTGTTGAGGCTTAGTAGAAGATCCAGCTCACTATTGCTAGCAGCCAAGGAGGCCATCTCTGCGAATGATTTAGCTGGCACCAGAGTGGGCGATTCTCTCAGCGCAGTGCCATTCTTTTGTGGTGGCAAGGGTGTTTGACCACGAATGCGTCTTTGGTGCTTCGGAACACCTTGCTTTAGTAAGAAAACAAATCCGCATACTATTTGCGGCAATCAGAACCATAACGTTATGAGGAAAAAAAGACGAATTCTACGGGCATGGCAAGTGAAAGAAATTAAAGGCTGACAATGAAATACCTCATCGTGTCTCTTTTGAAACACTTTGCGAGATGGCGGCAGAACACCGGATGGATGATCCCTACCGTCAATTTTGTCAAATTTGGCAAAAATTCGTCGATAGAGTGGGTGTCGCTGAGCCTCCCAGTCATTCGGAGGCATAATCTGACGAACTAGATTCCTGTCCTCCGACCTGTACAACGCCACAATCAAAGATTCAGCCAGCTCGCGAACCTATGCAAAAAGGAAAATGGGAGGCCTTAAAGTGAGTCACCAACCCTTAATTTTCTACTATCAATCAGACATTTGTAAGGGGTGCAAGCAATCGAATGTACAAAAGGGTTCGCGACAATTACTTGCCTCATTTGACCTGTGTTCGAGAGCCTGAATGGTGAATGTGATGAGATCTTCAATGAAAGGAAAAGGATTTCTACTGTCGCTCTTATCGTCCGAGCTGGCAAAATCGGCGTAGATGTCACTCACAATCTGCATTTGACACAGAGCGAGTCGCTCCAGAGCGGTTGGTTGGAATGGCCGGAGGATTTCATGCCAGAATCCTCCATCTTGTCGAAACTGAAGTGAATTCAAGCATAAGCCTTCATATCAGAAATAAAGCACGAGGGTCAATGCTTTAAAATCAAACGAAATTGTTGGCTCTTCATCAGCTACTCTAGCCACTACGATGTATGTAGTGTGGTTAGCATCAGGTACTCAGTAATAATTAGCCATTCTGTATCAAACAAAAGAAAACATTGAAGAGACCAGAAAGATTGAAAATGCTAACTGGCAAATCATGAACATTGGTCATTTTAATAACGCCATTCGCTTTCAGGCCACAGAAGTACAAAAGCAAAGCGTGGTATCTGACTTACAATGGACCATTTGGCCATTTCAATTAGCTTAGCCTTGGTAACATCTCGGACTCTTAAGGAGGAATCTCCAGTGCGTTGCAGTAGAAGCCGCACTATCTTGTCAAGTGAAGTGAATACTTCCGGTTTCGCGATGTGGTGACGTTCGCCGAAGTCAACAATTGTTGTTTGAATCATATCAAGAGCTTTGCGGTAGAGAGTCAAAACCTTCATGAAAAGGAAGGATTTTGGTTTTATTCTCAAATACTTTAAACGTTGCACAATAGCAGGTGGGAGGGAGATACACTGACCGCAATGATACCACGGAAAAATAGCCCACCTGTTCGTTAAGTGCTCTTTGAAGCAGAAATGTAGTTGAACGCAGTTCTCCAACAGGATCGGACTCAGAGGACATTGACTCAAGTGATACCGGCGGCGGAAGTGGATCTCGAGAAACTCGCTGCTCCAAATCCGTTAAGGCCTGCTCTCGCAGTTTCCATGACCGACTGTAAAATAGCTGAACCTTGAAGAGCATGGGTAGTCAAAAGAGTGAAATAAATAAGGGACAACAACATAGTAAAAGGCGAGCGTCCCTTACAATATATGATTACATAAAAACTAGAGTGAAGAGGCGAAATTAAAGAATTGAGAAAGTGAGGTAGGAAAGCAATATTACCAGAGGAAGACCAACAACATCGATAGCCACAGCGGCTTGCCGAGTTGTTGCCTCGGATAAACCCTGGCATTCGTTATCCAGCTTTGGAGAACTGCAGTTCTCCTCTAACTGGGCGGTCCCTTCAATGCAGTTGTTTGCCTGTTTCTTGAGCAGGGCAGGCAGAGGGCGCTCGTCCGCAACGTTGTGGCCATAATGCACTGGAAAGGCGTCCTCACCGCTTGCTGTAGAGTCGAACGAGCAGGGCTCCGGATTAGTCTCGGGCTCTGCTTCGGTCGAGTATTGCTTGCCATGTTGAAAACTGACTGTAACGGAGAGGGCTTTGCATTTCACCAACGATAACGCAAACACTTTTGACAACGAAGGAACAAGGTGTAACAGGAAAATCAGAAATATACATAACCCAAATCCTGCCGCATAAAAGGACGATACTTTTGAAGGCAAGCACATTTAGGTGGCAACGACACTCTCTGCAGCAGAAATATAAAGCGTGCAAGAATGTGGTTTTAGACATTCGGTGAATTTTGCCGGAAATAGCCTTGTGCAATGATGCAATGATGGCAACATGAATAAATATCGAGCAATGTGTAACGATCAACAACGAGAATAAGCTCACTTGGTAATTTGTTGGAGGACTGAGCAAAGGAGATAGGGTCATTCATAACAATGTCAGCATAGCTTCTTTCAGTCGTGTAATCACCAGTCAATGTTAGAAATATTAGCTTTGAACGATTAAAGTGAATGTATCTTGCAACATGCATCAAAGCTAGGTTAACAGCCAGACATAAAATTAACCAAAATAAGTTGGCTTGTTAGGCAAAAAAATCTGTATCCTGGGGAGCTACATCAGCTCTTCCGCTTATTTCGATTTACACGGAACGCTTGGACATACGTACGTAAAAAATAACTAAACCCACCATAGTGAGTCGAGGGTGGTGCTGGGGACGTGAATCTGCACTAATAAGTGCGTCAAGATCAACGGTGCGTGCCAATTCATCACGGATTCGAATAATTTGTTCCTTCTTCACTTTGGCCTCCTCATAGTTCTCCAACTTCACCGCTTCCTGTTTTTCAAATTCGAGTCTGCATATCTGTTCACCAGCCTAGATGTGCAGATAGTATATTTGTGTTTTTTGCATGGAATCAAGACGAACCCAAAAGCAGGCAATTAGATAATAGTTGACAGACTGTATTCAAATAATGTAGCAAAGGGATCTTACCTCCTGGATACAGCGAATGGCGTCACGCGCTTTCGTAGCCATGTCATAATTTTCACCTGAAATCAGAAAGCGAATTTCATGGATGTGCATCAAATTTTCGAACGTAATAAGTGAAATAGACTAAAATAACATCATGAATACTGCGGAATTGGATAAAATTGTAAAAAGAAGTAGAAATAATAGAATAGTAGGAGAGATTTAAGTAGCCAAACTCACAACGTGCATATTCCAACTTCTGGCACTGCAATCGACGGATAATATCGCCCAATTGAGGATCTTGATAAATACTAAATGCCAGATCATCCAATGGTGACACGTTGATACTTTAAAAAGCACAAAAATAAGACTCAAGTAATGAGTCGTTACAGTACGAGAAGTTATTGAGAAGAAAAACCTACCCATCCGCCATGCTTCCACCTGGTACGGAGTTTCCTGATGAAGCCCCCAAGCTACCAATAAGATTAAGCGCAATCACGCTTATTTGATTATAGAGATTTTCCGGATTTGCAAAATTTTTGTAAAGAAAAATTTGGAAGTAGGAACCATACGCATCCACATGAACGGACTTTAACTCCCTTGCCTTAAACTGTGTAGCCTCGTTGTTAGAAAGTTCTACATGGCTACAAAAAGTAAAATAAATTAAAGTTATACCCAAGTCTACGGAACCGAGAAGTGTCCAGGTTAATTGTATCTTCGCTATAGGAATCACCAACAAAAAATTCAACTTTCGAAGCTTTCGAAGTAAAGGTGTAAAGCAGACAACAAACCGATAAGAAACTGGTGTGACAGAATTTGAATTTTCCGGATTCTGGATGGTTTTTCCAGCTCAACCACGATTTGTTGTGGATATGGACAGTTTTTCGCACTGCGCCATCCTCTGGTATTGGGAGATACGTGATTCAGCTCTATAGCCGGATATTGCTCATCTTGACTTGTTACATGCACTACGCAAAACTTTATCTTGCGCAGCATTAGTTCCGAAGCTACAAATGTAAAAAGCGGACGAAGTCTAAAACATGCTATGAAAATGACACCACTTCACCCACACAACACAATATCATGCAGGTATGCGACTAGTAAAGATATATATAACTTACAAGAGCTAGATGCATCTGCAAGTAACCAGATGAAGAAAACGATTTAAGAAACCTAGCAACAGCTATAAGCGCGGAGGTTTTTGAAAATATAATTAGTATACTCTCAGGAACCTGTGGCTTCACCAATATGTCCTAATCATGAATCCAAACACGCTACTTATAAAGATTGGGCGAATTATCAAAACCGTTCCACCTTCTGATTGTGAGGAATAAGAATGCTAAACGTACACTGGGTGGTGCCGTGTACTTTGGGGGCAACTGCACTGCTTCAAGTTTGAAAAAACAGGCTGATTATATTCCCGCCTACCACAGTAAACATCAGATGACATAATGAAAGGCCAAAAGTGAACATGCCAAATTTTAAGCTATATGGTCTTATTAAATGGGCTCTGATGCTCATCGAATTAGGCGTTGTAGTTTTTAGGTTGTTCTTGCCCAGGTTTAACAATATAAGCCACAGATGCTCGAAAAATTTGTGCGTAATTCTAGATAGTATTTTGTGCCTAACTGTTGGATTACCTTGATACCAATTTCTTTAAGTAAAGCTAACAGCATTCTATTTTCGTTTAAAGCATGCGTGCTGTAGAAATGCTCTGATTCTGAATAGCACCGAAATCCCAAATTTTATGTTATGGAATTCTCTATTTTGCAAACTTTGCCTCTTTGCAAGTTAAAATGCTTACTCAAATTGCAGTTCAAACCATTATATAAATTAAACAAAGCTATCACATTTCTTTTATGGCGTCAAGCTATTCGCATGGAAAAGAACGCATTTGCCGCCAATTATACTGATATTCCGGCTTGCAATCGCCTGCTTAGCTGTATTTTGTCTTTTTAGCTCACTTCACAAATCTCTAATAAATATCTTTGTATTAGCACTGTTTTGCTTGGAGGCCAATTGGGCCCAATATCAGCATTGATGATATCAAGCCAAATGATTTATGTATTAGTTGAAATCTGCTCCTATCGCCCGTTCTTTGCGATAATCAGCTAATCAAATAGCAATCCTCTTATTTTCGTAGCTTTGTTTTCCACTTTAAGAGTGTTCCGCTAGAGTTGCGGGCTTAGAATGTGGTGTTAATCAGTCGCGAAACGACTGTCATCTGTGAGTCAAAATCAAACAGTTCCGGGACTGCTCGAATAATTGTCCTTCTAACGTCTCTGCTCGTGGCCTCGAAATGACAATTTTCGGAAAATAATCTGCTGTTATGTTTGTTTTTTTTTTACAACAACCAAAGGGGTTATGATCAGCACCAGTTCCTGAATACAAAATCACACACTTTGATAAACATTCCCAAGAAGAATTCTGCCATTCTAAATGGGCAAACCAAATTTCTTTGATTAAGAAGTATCATTATAGGTATGCTTTGACGGATGTATAAATGTGGTCAATGCTCGTTATCATCCTTTGGCGAACCTTGGGTACAAGACTTAAATAAGTTAGAAAGATTTTAAATCGCGTGCCGAATACCCTTGGAAATCAGACGTAAAGTAAGTTGCACTCAATGCCAAAACTGAGGATTCCTGACCCGGTTTTACTTTATGGATCTTAACCGTGTATTATGATTATCAAGAAATGATTCCTTGCGGTGCAACAAGTCACTCCTCTGCAACAACCAAACGAAGTTTAGTAATTCACAAAAGGATTTTCCGCATCGTTTTAATAGGTAAAGTTGTTCCATTCAAGTCTACACAGCCCAGTCCTCTTCTGGTTATTAAATATGCAATTTGAGGTACTGGGGCTCAGGTCAAACTTTGCTGACTCGATAAGTTCACCGCGTTAATAGGTACCAGAGAAAAGTATTTAGCTCATTAAATGCAGTCATTTATGTTATAATTTGAAGTTATTTGTGGTTGTAGTAAAGTGAACACATTTCTAGACGCCAAGGGATATGGTACATAACCGATTAGTAGTAAGAATACCTAAGTGAGCTGTATTGCTACCGTGCATAAAGCGAAGGTTTCAAAGAAGTGTCAGGCGAGCTTCTTTTCGAAAGACCGAAAGAGTAAATAAACCGAAAGGTGAGAGCGTAGCTTATGTTCTCAGGTTCGTTTAAGGATGCGCCGAAGAGAGCTATGACGGCGTTTATGAGGTCCTTCCACCTGACTAGATGCAGCAGAAGATGTTCTCGAGTGACGAGATGGGGGTGGAAGAGAATGAGCCCTTTCATGAGGGTTTCTGGGTCCTCGCTGACTCAGCCTGCTGGCTGACTCATTGATGACATCGATCCAGCGTTGAAGCACTTCAGCACTTACAGCCTGAAAAAGGTATTCTGCACCAGTAAAAAGTCTGAGGCGGAACACGAAGGGTCGCTTTGTGTAGTCCAGAGCCGGAACAGCAATCGCGCCACCTAATTCCATCGGGGCTTCGCCATGAAACGTTTCTCCCACCTGCTCACGACGCGTGCGCCGATCTCTGTAGAAGGTCAACTTGCCATCCATCAGAGTCACGTAGATGGATGTCCAGCCACGGCCTCGGCTGTGGCGTATTCCTCCGGCCTCCAATTCCCATTTTCGAATCAACGGTCCCTCAACGCGCGGCAGCTCCTCCGTGGATGCCAGTAGTGTAGCCTCTGGTTCCGCAACTTCTGCATGTGCTCCCGATGGTGGTGTGTTCACCGAAGTGCTGGGAAAACTTCCTTGAGGCCTGCGAAAACCCATTTGACACAAACCTTAGATTGAACTGTGCTTCGGAAATAAAAGTAACTTCATTTTAACTCACATAAACAAACCTGGTACTGGAAGTTGTTTCGAGAGTCTTTCCCTCCTCAGCCTCCTCAAAGGGCGTTGTGGATGTGACTGGCTCATCAGACGGATTTTTTGATGGAGTAACGCGCGCCCTTCGAGGGAAGAAGATATCAGCCGAGCTAGTTGATGGAAGGGGTTGTGGCGGCTCTTCCTGACGTTCAAGCGTTGACTTTGGGACCGCCATCGCCGAAAGAGAGGCTCTGGATGTGCGTTTTTGTGGAATTTGCACTGTCCTTGTGACTTCCGTGGCTCTTTCGAAGAGCGCTGGCGGTGAAAATGTGCATGCACTTTGAGCAACCATAGATTGGGTTACTGCTGGGTTTGGCTTGGGTGGGCACGGTTCTTTTGATGTGACTGCGGCTTGGACGGGTTGACTCCCGCTGGGCATAGGCTGTGGAGCCTGCGGGGGCAGTCTGGTAGAACAGTTTGAGGGCGGAAGGAACTCGTGTATTGCACGCCGAATATTATCACGCCTTTGCTTTTCGTGGCGACTTGCGTCTTCGGGTTTCCACTCCAGAGAATGAATTTCCATCTGTTGATTCAAGAAAATGGTTAGCTGTAGTCACAGCAGATATGATATGCAATAAACTGACAATGATTGCTTAAGAAGTTTCGTTATGTGCACATTCAAGGTGCTCACTACATGACTATTTCATAACAGAAGTATCAGCGAATTGCAAAAATCGGGTTCTCAGATGAATTAGACGTGTGTGACATAATTGTATGCTAATTAGAACATCAAGAATCGTATTATTATTGTACTTATAAGCAACGCTTACACATGATTTGTGATTGATTTTGTGTTGTGCTGCTACTTCTCTGTGACCCCTCTACATCGTTGAGCGAATATTCTAACGTGGATCAGGTGTATTTAGAAATGCGATTAAAAGAATTATGAGTGATGCAGCATCGAACCTTGGTGAGTTGCTTGAGAGCGGCGAACCTCTCCTCGGCTGAGGCGCAGGCCCGCTCAAAGGCGTAATGTGCGCCGAGCAGGGCAAGCGTCTCCGCCAACGTCTCACCTATGTTGCGTCGCACCGAGACGAGGTAGACTTCGCGGCTAACCAGCCATGACTCCGCAGCCGCCGCGTCACGCAGGTAGTAGCGCACGTCAAGCAGCATTCCCAGTCGCTCCCACCGCTCGCGCCATAGTGCCTCTATGAGGATATGCTCCGTCGCTAGCGCCACGCACGCCTCTCGCACCTCACCCTGAGGTGCCGTCAATACCGCGTGTAGATGACTCGTCGAGGGCGCAACGGCTTCGTCCGTAACTGAATGACTCCCGATACCCAAGATCGTGCGCCCTACATCCAGACACTCCTCCACCTGCTCTACCTTAATCCTCAGTTCTGCGTACAACTGGCGGTGCTCTGCGATAAGACGTTCCACACCGTGTATTGTTCGGCTATTTATGAAATTAAGAAGGACAGATGATTGCCATTTTGCAGTGTTATTTTCAATTTTAGCATTATGAGGGACTATTCAGTGCTAAGCGGACAAATAATCCACCTCTAACTGTAACCCAACGGTGGTATGTTGCAAATAATTGTGAAATAGTACATTTTCCCTCAGATTCTCACAAATAGTCGCATAACAGGGAAACAAAACCACTGTTTTAATTACTGACAATTCCTTTGGACAAGCGATCTACTAGTTTATAAATAGCGGGTTTGCGTGTCAGAATTTTGTCTACTCAAATGCGGCCAAAGGACGCAAGAAATCAGTCTAAGCTAGTTTGCGTGGAGATTTGCAGCAGGCACAGAGGCACTGGTTCACATTAACTTCTTTCGTTGCATCTTAAGGGATACATTCTAGTAAAGAGCACTGATAATACCTAGAGGATTCTTAACGTTATGGCCCATGCATCTTGTGAAGTTTTTAATGATAAATTGTCCTTAGACGTGGCTAATTACAATGACAACTCCGACAGATGAACATGGATTAACTAGCAAGGCTGTGTTTGAGAACAAAAATCATTTCTACCGATAAACTAAGTGCATGCAGAGACCAAGAATTTGTAAAAGCATTTAATTCAAAACACGCACAGCGTTCGAAGAGACCCATATCTTTCGAATTCAAATAGGTACTAACTAGAAGTTCGATGAGAATTTGATAATTTCTTACTATAAATGCCTTAGGAGTTGGTGTTTCATTTTCATTGGGATCCGTTAACTACGCTAGCTCATCCTAGGTTGATAAGCTCTGAGCGATTTTTTCACTAATATTTAGAGATGAGTTAAATTTAAATTGAGAATAAGTTTTTGTACTTTCTGCAAACTCGTTTACACATAAATAATTCTCTTAAGCGGTTGTAATTATTTCATTTAACCAGACCCACTTAGGCCCCGATAGCACTTGTTGACCATATCCCATTTTCAGTTAGCGAGGATTTGGTTTACTTTTCAAAAGATGCTTGTACCTCAGGCCATTAAGCTGGCTCATTTTGTTCTTAGCCTCAGCAAACCAGGAGAGGAGGTTGTGCGCGGTGGAAAAGAAACGGTGGAAGTGTTGCGCCTCCTCCAGCTGCTGGGCACGCGCCTCAGCGGTAGCGGCGAGGTCCTGAGCAGCACGTAGGACGCAGTCGCGGCGCAAGCTCAGACGTATCTCCTCCTCGCCTGAGTAGGTGGGCAGAAGGGCGACCGCAGTGGCGGCGAGGGCAGCGCAGCTCGAGTTGAGGTGAGCGAGTCTCTGCTGCACCCCAGCCTGCCGCCGTCGTAGGCTCGCGATCCCACCGCCGTGACCTCCTGCTGAGGCCAACTGGTCCGTCACCATCTCCACAGTGGGCTCCTCTGGCAGGAATTGATAGAACTCCTCGATCTGCTTCTCGAGGTACTATAGAATAAGTGAAAAATATGAATCACTTTCTACATTTATACGGCATAATTTTACCCACCATGTATCAGTAAGTTGAATAAATCCTCTCTTAAGCTTTTACGTTTTTGAGGATGAAATAAATTTCATAAACAGTTCATATGTCATTCGTAAATGTGGATAAAGCCTTCGTTCCTTCGTCTTTAGATCTCATAATAACTACATCTGAGTCGCACAACTTTCCGTTATTACAATTTGCATGATAGAAAGCATACTTCCTCTTTTGGAATAAGGGACGTGGATGAATTAGCTGCGTTTTCAATGTCATGAATCCAACTCCAATTGTATTTGCTTTCTTATGACCTTTTCAGTGCGTTTGACATCAACTTACGGGTAATGATACAAATAAAAAGTCATGCGAGTCAGTCCATTTAAGACGGACTATTAAGTTATCGTGAAGTATAATTGATCAACCTATTAAAACATCTTTAAAATTTGTTAATCAAAGCTGAGGGAAATAAGTAGGAGGTCAATGTCACTTCAGACAATACGGGAAACACGAAGAGAATATCTTCCACCCAACTTTTGTTACTGTTCTCCTAGGCAACACACTACTGCAAGTGGCCGAAAGTTTACATTGTTCTACAAAGGCATTCTAATAACTATGTTATCTTCATTCAGTCTTGCTAAACTCAGCAACGATAAGCGCTGACTGAAAAATACTTTCACTAAGTTCATGCATACTAATTTATTTTTCTTCCTCCCATTAGCGAATTTTTGTATCTGGCTCCTCTACAAAATTTACCCATCCAAAATTATTTTGATCATGCTTATGACATGACACATTGTATCGGGAAGGTTTTTCCAAGTACGAATCTGAGAGCATTGACAGTGAGAATGAAAGGAAAACCCATCATTGAGCAGGTATTATTGATGGGATGAAGGAGGATAGGCAAACGTGTGCGAAAAAAACAGGTTACAGAGGTTCTGTTTAGGGGAACACGTCCTCGCCCTACATTCAGTGACTCACTCAAAAGACTAGTGCAGAAGAGCAGGGAGTAAGGGTGGGAGGGAGCATGGGCAAGCCGATTTGATTGCATGGGCGTGACCTCGCCCACTACGACGGACACACCACGCAAATGCCCACTTCGCGTGTGTGAGCGTACGGAGGAGCGGTTGTGGAGTGGCAGCACGCTTACCACGACAGTTTTGAAGGAAACATGGGAAGTGGAGCACTTATTCACCCACAACATTGAGAATGGCGATCACAATTATGACACGAAATGGACAAAGTGAATTTGAAGTAGATGGACAGATGAGCTAGGCATTAAAAGTGTCCTTTGGATGGTTGTTCATCAACTATCAAAAAATGATTTTCTTTAAACGAAATGGCTAAACAAATGTTTTTACGGTACACAAATGGGAAAAAATCTGACGAGCAACGTTTAAACACCAAAGTATCCTTGAGCTAGTAATGTGACTGCGAACTTGCCAAAGACACTTACAACTAAATTAGCTTTACAGACAATCATGTCAGTTTTATTCACAATGGTCAATGGCTCGATTGAAAACCGATGTCAAGGAAGTATAAATAAATTCGTCCGAAATCCCGTAAAGTACAAATAATTCTTACAAAAAGAGTTGTTTTAAGTGTTCATTTTCTCCTCCCCTTTTTGATTAACTACTGTTTCATTAACACCGCCTTACCTGAGCGTCGGAGAAAAATCGGTGGAGCGTGAGGGCAGATTTCAGTAGCTGCCCTCTGGTGGTGATCATTTCAAGCAGGTCAGCCCAGTCCTCGTTAAGGCCGTCCTTGGCAAGCGCAATCTCAGAACGGTTTTTGTGACCTTTGGCGATAATTTGGTCGATGCGAAAGAGCATCATCTTTACACGACGTTCGCCCTCCTTCCGTGTGCACTTGGAGAATTGGTCGAAACGATCCTTGAGATTAAACGTTTGCTCCAAGTCAGCGCCCACATTCGGGTCTTTGGCGGTCTTTTGCCGCTCAGCTATCCAGTCCTGTGGTCCAACAAAGTATGCATAGCACATCGTCAGCAATCAGAAAATAAAAAGCTATGTGGTATTGGCTACGTGTTTTGAAACCCTAGATTTAATGACTAACTTTGCTTTTAGTATGACCCAAGAAGTCTAAAATGATCCTTTTTCGCATTAAGTTTACAATTTTGTCACATTATTTTATGGAAACAACGCTCTGTCCTAGACTATAATATGTTGAAAGCAAAATTAAGTTAGCCTGGATTTGACTTAACAGAATATACCCTTATCACCAAGAATAGTATTGGACCAGTAAGTTTCATGTCAAGTTAGAAGTAAAGAATACCGATGATAAACCAAATGCTTCAAAATTTTAACCATGGTTACAGGTAATGATTGCTTGATCAAACACTTTATCCAATTTCGGAGATTTTGGTTTCAAAGTAAAAGTTCATACCTCAAGATCGTTGACATCTTGCATTAGATCGTGCAGGCTGATAGACTCAACCAGATCCTTTCGGCAGTCTAGTACGCTGTTCTCGAGAAGCGCGAAGTCATTCACAAGCCGCGAGATTGCGTTGGCAACCGCAGACTTGGCTCCTGGTGGAGCGCTCACGTAATTGCCATTTATTTGCACGCCCGAGGAAAGTTGGGTACACAACTCGTTCCCCCGGCGGTGAGTTCTGGTGACTTCGTTAGACCAATGCTTGACAGTTTCATGTAGCACATTCAATTGACGTAGGGATCGGTTGGCCTCCTCAATGCTCTGCAGTGAAGGCATGATCAAAATATGAGTGTTTGTTTTTGTGGGCTACAAAAAAATAGTCGTTTAGGCATAGCAAATACTTCAAGTAATTTACACGCACGAAAGGGGAGCTATTCAGCATTATTAACATCCACTTGAGTCTCCTGAGAGCTACCGACGGTGAAGTGGTCATGTAACGTAGTCATTCATAATTTTCGAGAGCAAGCATTACAGATTACAGGAACCGAAACACCTTCTTTGGCGTGCTGAACAAATGCTTTGACTAATAGACATTGCACGAAATAATGCCACAGTGATCAGAATACATGGCTCTTGACCATAATCAAGCTTTAAAGACAGTGCAGATATGATGTTTCTTTCAAGATAGTTATCATGAAACAACTACTTAGCAGTTACTTAAAATATCTTTACTTTCCCATTTTGGGGAAAATCAGGGCTATTTTTCACCCATCCGAATAATTTTCCAACTAAGAATCACCCCTGAAATGGGACTGACCTTATCTTAAGAACTGTAACCAATTGTTGGATTTGATGAATGCTTAAAATTGAACAAATTTGGTTAAGGACAAAAAGATGTGGATTCTTTAAAATAATGCATTAGCCTGATCAACGCAGCAGAAAGGAGCGAATAAAAGAAGTTACGGTGGGCTCGCAGATGCTTTGCAAGTAGAGCTCCCGTTCGGATATCCAGGCCTCCATATTGACAGCATCAAAGAAGAATTTGTGAATGGCCTCAGCCAACCGTAGTTCTTCTCGTCGAACCTCGAGCAGATGAGTGACCGTATACCAGGCCTGTTCCAACTCACCCAGAACTTCGCGGAAACTTCCAACTCTTTCGGCGGCACCTTCACTTTTACCCAAATACGTTTCCTTCACCCTCTGCAACAGATTAGGTACTCTTCACACTATTTAAAGGTATTTCTAGTATTTAATTATTTTGATTGTTCAAATTAATATAGAAGTAAAGGGTACAATAAACTATTAACGTAATTCTAAAAATCTGGGATTAGCTTCTGCGACGACGTTGCAAAAAACAGGAAAATTCCACCACAAATAAAAAGAATATTGTGTATGCGATTGTATGTGGCTGAGAAGGTAATCATTTCTACCGGTCCCACTCCTTTTAGCAGATCACACTAGGAAACCCTCCTCAGATGTGCATATGACTCAGGTATAAGACTGTTTGAAGCAATAATTAGTAGGCTATGGGTCAGAGAGGGAATTCATGTTGCTCAAAAGTAGCCATGTGCTTTAAGGAAGTCTTACAAGACAAAGAGCCTTCACTCTAGGTCCACGATTTTCCACTTCTGCTATGTGATTCATCAATCGCCGGTTCTCTTGCTGCACGCGAAGCAGATGTTTGCCAACGGACCACCTGTCCTGAGGCGTCCAGTCGTTGAATGGCTGGCGGATCTGCACCAACTTATCCTTCACCCAGAGAAGCTCCGAGTTCAGATCGAGCAGGTGACTGGCAACCGTGATGTGTAGATTCAGGAGGTCTTCGCGCTGTGTTAAGGCTGCGCTCACAGCACACAACTGCTTGTCCACCTCCGTATTTACAGCAGCGAGATCGGCAGCGCGGTCAGGATGCCGCTGCGACAGTGAATCCGTGTGCTCCTACATAACAGTATCAGACTCTTTAATTAAAATAAGTTAATAATAAAACCTACAGCTTCGTAAAAATAAAAAGGCACATTATCGCCCAGTATCACAAAACACAACATAGCCCAGTGAGAGACAAAATAGAATAACTTCCAGTTGAACCCAAAGTGGAGGTGACAAGGCTTTCATGTTGCCAAACAGACATAAGTCCCAGCTAAGTACAAAGTGCTGTTCTAAAGACAGTATTTCGGTACGGTACCAACTCACAAAATGTCACAGTTGTTGAATAGATTCTTATGGAAATGTTTTCAGCAAAACTGGAATAATTACAATGGTTTATTGCCAGCATCTAATCCATTTAAATAAAAATGTACTATGGAAACTGGTTTGCATGTAACAGGAAGAAAAGATTTTAGTTGATCCCCTTAATCAGGAGAGAATGTGTGCGCCCAAGCCCCTATTCTTCAATCGCCAGAACAGCACCGATTGCTGAATTAAGAACGAGTCTGAACATTCTTGATAGTACAATTGTTCATATGATTTCCTCTTCGTAGGTATGAGCAAGTGTAATATATACATTATTCTTATTGAGGTTTGGTTTTGCACTGTACTGATGGTGTAAATTCAGTCACTTTGAAATCTTAAAATAACTTTAGGTAGGAGAACTAGCCTTGATTACAGCTGCCATTTCGGAGTAGTTCGAAAAACCTTGACAGTCTCTCTGGTGGGAGTCCAACAGCTGTTGAAGCTCTGTTAGACCTGCAATTGCTAAGCTGGAATCCTCAATATCTGTTTTCACTTTGGGAAGCAGTTTTTCGGCCCATTGTAACAATTCTTGCACCGTCCCATTCAACAGGTATTCTGCAAACGAAGAACACTAAAATCATCAAAACTTGTTGCCAGAAAAACGCTGATTTCTTGTTGAATATTTCCTCATACAGCTTATTTAGGAGCGTTTTAGATCCATTAGAAAAGTTTCAATAACTATAAAACCGAAACAAAGGGAATGTACAAACTTGCCTCTGTGTAATTCCTCCAGACTCAGCATTTGTTTGTGAAGTTCCCTTAGCAGGGCTTCCCAGTGCACGTACATGGTGTCGATGCTCACAGAAACGACGCGACTGACGCTGGGACAAGAATCAATGAGCTGTTTTCCAGTCTGAAGATTAAAAAGAAGCACACCCCATTTTTGGAAACCTAAGTCACAGACAGGAAAGGTTAGTAAAGCTTATCAGAGCTGACGCACCTCGATGATACCCTCCGCACGCTCCCGACTAGCCTCTATCTCCTCCTGCAGCGCCTTCACCTGGCCGTAGGCGTTCGAGACGTCGCGCTTCGAGGTTAGCGTCACTTGATTCAATGCCACCAGCTTTTCTGACATCCAGTCCTCGATCTGCAAAGTGTACGTATAACCAAGACTAATTTCCACCCTGTCGTTTGTTTATTTTTTGTTTGGAGAAAGCGAAATCAACTTTGGGCAAAAAAGCCATATGAATAACATTCAAAGAATTAGAGTTGGATGCATATTTAAACACAGGAAATATCCATTCAAAATGCAAAATACTACAAAGTGATAAATAAATGATGCTTCAAAGGGGCAATATGAGATCTTACGTCGGCGAAATCATTCAGCAGCTCTTGCAGGCGCAAATTTTCTTTCAAATGCCGTTCACATTCATAGGCCTTCTTCTTGTTTTGCTCTAATCTAAATTTAAAAGTATAATAATGTCATTCGAAATCCTTGAACAGAATAGCCGAAATTCTTGCATTAAATTAGAAAACTTGAAAGCACAACAGAAGAAAATCATAGCTTCCTTCGTTTCCGTGTTCTCCGCGGTAGAAGAAACGCTCACCTTTGGCGCAGATTATTTGTTCTGGAGAAGAAGCGGTCTTCATTGCCGTGATCACCGGTAAGTAAGTCTCGACCTTTGCGCTCGAGTGCATTGAATCGGTTGCAGCAGGCAAGCATTGAGGCGACAAACGCCTCATGACATTTTAGTGCGCTTTCCACTGCTTCAAGAGACTCCTATTCAACAAGATTAGAGTGCTGTAACTACAAGGTCTCATATTCAGGCGGTGCTGTGTATGCTCAAGATTAAAAGTAGATCACCATTTGCTTGAAAACTGACCTGAGGATTTACTCAGGGGATAGGTGGTACTGGACTGAGTAAGCCCTGATGAAGTGAACAAGATATTGTCGCAAAGTGCAGTTAGGAAGGGCACATGTAGGGTATCACTTTTGTTAGGCTTGTTAACGCTTGCTATAAACCTAAAAGTACTACCATTGAGCAACCTTGGAGATGTAATAGAACATGCTTTGAATTAGCGTAACATCTAATGGTTATAAAAGTGTACGTAAAAAGGGACGTTGGTAAAATCGTCAAAGAAGGGATTAGCGAATGAAACACTATTTTGTCATAGTAATGTGCTAGATTGGTGTGATTGGGAGCCCAAACATTGGTTGGCTAAAACGGTATTGCATACCAGTTGGCATTCCTGGTTCAAGTAGGCATCTTGCTGATACACTGCAGCCTCCAGCCCTCCAAGTTCAGCGAATAAATCCTGAAACAATGCAAACATGCAAACATCCATGTTTCGAGTGTCGCTACGGGCTACTCAACATTTCCCATTGTGTGTCCAGTGGTGTTAACAAAGACCTGAAGGTGCCAAAATAGGGTCTCAACCCACAATACCCCTTGCTGATCAAATTATGCAAACAAACTTGTTTTTAACAAGAAGTCCGCTGAATCAAAAATGCCAAAACTTTGACTCTTCCGCGATTCCCACTTCTCATCTTGAATGATTGCGTTATTTAAACTGCCCCCAAATGCTGAGGGGAATATGATGACTTCCGGATTTCAGGTATTTAGAATCGGTATATCGCAAAATCCTAGTTCGAAAATGGAGGTCACAGAAACGCATCAACGGGGAAAATAATCTATCATTTTGCATTACTTAGTAAAACTAGAAATGGTTACAATGGTTTACGTACTCTGAAGACCAATTAAGGCTGATTCTGCCTAATAGCTACTTTTACCCACTTTTTACCATTTCTACTAAGCTTAACCTTTGTTAACTCCAGAGTCATGATGAAGAAGGGTGGATTCCGGTTTGTTACTTTGTTTGTTATAAGCTGATTTAACGTACCTGGATTGCGATGCTTTGGTTTAGATTGTTAATATTTTTCCGAACCAGATCGCACGTTTCGGCGTATTCCTCAATAACCTGCACCGGATTGACACGGGGTTCTTTGACAGGCGATTCGGTGTCCACCAAATGATGGACTTTTTCGTAGTCTCCCAAAAGCTTCTCCAGGCGTTTCTCAGCGGTTAGCAGTTCCTGTAGATCCTGTTCTCGTGAACACACTGAAGCACGTACCTCCTAAAATTTCACCAACGTGCCAAATTTCCAAAATATTTTTTCCAAACTTAACCTTAAAAAGCGCGGCAAAATCCGCTAAAACTAAAAAACTAATCTGCTTATGTAAAATTATATTGGCGCAACAGCTCTACCAAGTCCGAGAGGCTCAAAACCAGAACTAGTTAAAACTAGTAACAACAAGACCTAATCAAGACCGAAACTGAAACCCAATTGTATCCAGAAAAGTTGGTAATATAAGCCAGAAATGCGATTTAATGAGAGTAATGATAGAATTCAGACCTCGTGAAGATCACCATGTACAGTACAGTTTACAAGATACTAAGCTTTTGCAGACATGCAAATGCTTTGGTCTGAGTTGTTCTGGAGTGTTGAAAGGCTCTGGCTCGTTCAGAATTAGGTCTTCCTAAACGTGTGCGGAATTTACACCAGATTCCAAAGTAGTAGATTAGTGCTAGAACCAGAAGGATCAGGGGTGGGCAAATTGTACGCAAGTTTATCAGTATGCCTTCAATGGACAGAACTATCATCAAAATGCAGGATTCCCCTTAGAAACAAAGATCGTTGTCCAGATAGCTTACGCCTTCTACTGAATCCAAACCAAGCCTATTTCTCCTAAAAACATGACGCTAAAACAGCTGTACTAGACTAGATTCGGCTGCGGGATGTACAGCATTGTGATACTGCATCCGGAGGTTATCTGTAGCGTATTCTATTTTCAATGAAATCGCACAGATTGACAGATGTCAACACTCAACATCTGTGCCGAGAAATGAGTCTTATTGTCAGTCAATCATGCACATGAAACTCCTAATCGGCTAAAAGTTTCCAGGGTGCTTTGAGAATAAAATCTGTAGCAAACGAAATAGTGGAACATGCCTTCAGTTGTAATAAGAGTTGGGAATAACCCATACATAGTATTTTCCCAGGAATACTTCAATGCATGTGTTGTCGAAATTCACAAGCCATTGGCCAAGATGTGCATTCTACTTGTTCTTAAATGGACCTTGTACAAAAACGGAGTGTATTTCAAAAAATACTGCAGATATTATTGCTAAGTTCTAGCCACCCAAATGCAAGACAAGTTAGAAAGTCAACAATCTTGGAGGGCTCGCATTCCGTTTCCATCTCCATGATACAATAATCCATCAGGAGCAACGAAGTGCTCTTTACGACCTTTACAGAATTCTGTAAACACTATTTTTACTTTTCGTGCCGAGCGTTGTCATAATGAATTTAGGGGATGGCACGTATTAGATTATACCGAGAGATCAGTACTAACCATGTAAGGAAGCAGAGATAATAGCCCTTCGGCAGTCGATTTTCGAGGTAGACAATCAACATACGGAATGAATTTTGCACTGTGATGTTGAATACTATAGTGGCAAGCAGTAAGTACAAAACTCCTTCGTTGGCTTCTTGCGGCAGAAGACTTAGCCAACGAATTTTGAGGATTATGAAAAAACTTCAAGACTTCATTGTAAATAAACATTGTGCAAGCTGATAACCAAAAGGCTGTAAGCTTTGCTTTCTCTAATAGTTGGTTCGATGCTTTCCTAAAGAGTTCCCATATCTCAAACAGATCAATTCGTCTTTTCGCAAGTGCTAGAGAATCTTTCAACACAGGTGACACCAACCTAATCTTCATCCCACCGGATGCCTTGAGGCAACGATTCGGTGGATTGCACAACTTTGATTGAAGATTAGTATGAAATGTGTTTGAAACGTTTGAAGGTTTCGTGTACTTTAGTGACCAGTGACACTTACTAGGCCTGAATTGAGAGTCAGTAAGGAGAAGTTGGTAGAACCTCAAAACCTTCAGTGAGCTTTTCACAATACCTCTCACAGAAACACCGGAGAATCTGACTGACATAGCAGGTTAGAGTCGTTTGAGAAAATCGACGTAAACAAAGAACTTAATGCTGTCTGTGTCAGCAACAAAAGTGCTTGTACACAATGTTGATGGCAAAATTTATCGTAATGCACTGGATGGACTGGCAAAATTAGCTCTAAGAGCAAGAGGACCAATGTCAGAAATAGGAATCTCTTCCTCAGAAGCTGCGTTCGCCATGCAGGTATTTAAGATTTGGCAAGCAAGCTGAATATAGCCTTGTCAACCAAGTTTATGACATTTAGCATTTCGAAACCGATAGATACGACAAAAATGCCGCAGACCGCAGGACTTATAGATGTTCCGCAGTTTTGTGGCATCAAAATGTACTATCATATTGTCAACCGATGCTGAATTACATTTAGTGACATTTTCAAGCTTTTGCTTCTGCTAGCACCCTTATCCTTTGGAGTTTTTGCATATATTCATAGACTTGACTATCACAGTGGCCTCTACACCTTTGAAACTGTTCATACCAGGATCCGGAACTAACAAGGGCTTCAATTTTAATTTTGATAAGTTAATTCTAGCAGCTAGGTTACAACGAACCGCTTGGGTCCAAATTTGAGTTATGATTTCCTTTTTGTCAGAGGCTGCCCATGGATCAGTATACTTTTCTTTACACTTTCATGCGGAACTAAAAACTTTGGGGGGGGGGGGGGGGGGTCGAGTGGCGGTGAATTCTCTATTAGTACGAACAACTTTCCCAATCACTATAGAGAATCACGCTGCTTGTTTTTCCGGCTTTACGTCATTCTCAGTTACGGGCCATACCTCGAAACACTGAATGACTTTCAAATACTCTTGCAGCTGCACGAATGTTCAGAACCTTGGATTGACAGGTATCCATTTCTTAGTTTAAACTTTGCGATGTCAGTTTTAATAGTCTTAGTGATAACAGCAATATGGAGTAGGAGAGGCTCAAGCACAGGACTGGTGCGGTAAAACAAATCAGACGTTGTGACAATTACCTCATTCGACGTTTGTTGGTAACCAATGCTCACCTCAAGATTCGAAGGAATTGAAATGCAAGAGTTCTTGTCTTTTAAATGGAAAACCCACTGTAGAAACTCTCCTAGTGATTGCGCCGACTGTAGGTGCCCACCATGTAATGTCAGCAAGCTTTCGCACTGGTCTAATTGTCGATCAAGCCCTGCTAGCTTTCCGGAGAGCGCATCATGCTCCTTGAATAACCAACTCCTTCTCTCTTTTGAGAGACCGTCAGAGATCTGACAGGAGTCCGTAATCCGTTCACCGATGTTGTCAACTTTTGCTCGAATCACTTTTGCATCCGACTTTAATGATTTCAAAAACATTTTCAATCGTGAGAAATGTGACACAGAAGGAATGTAGGTCCAGTTGTGTTGATTGAGAGCGGCCAACTTCTCCTTAATCCATTCATTAGTATAGAAGCAATCCTGGCATAGACAGAGGAAATTATGGTCCAAGTTCAACCTGTACCGGCAATCTTCCACCCGATCTGCAAGGTGATTCCATGCGTCATTTAGCTGGTTCCTTGCCTCTGTCACTTGAGACAGCACAGCTTTGGCATCTGAAGCCTGTTCAATTGCTGCAGCATCAATGATATTGGTAGCCGTTTTATTAATATTTGCCACCTATTTGAAGGAAAGGAAATGTGGAAAAGTGCAAAAATGTACAAGATGTAAAGTAGCCAGCTTACCTTTTCAGCCATATCGCTCATTTGGTTTTCAATCTCTTCAAATCGACGTTCGACAAAATCGAATTCCTCCCGCAAGCTGGTGGAAACACCTTTTCCACAAATAACATTAAGGTTAGCTTCTTTTAGCCGGGCAAGAAGTGAGGATTTATCAGTTATCCAAGCTCGAGCTTGATTCGAATTGTGCATAAATAGCTGAATAGAAAGTGCATCTATTAGAAAAGCTTGTTTCTTTTTGACTTTGTCCACAAGGGTTAAATACGAGCGAAGTACACTTTCAGGTTTCTCCACAAGTATGTGCTCGATTTCCTTCTTAACTTTGAAAAAGCTTTGAATGAGAGCCTTCGCATTAAAATTTTCAGTAAAATCGTTTGGTAAAATGTCAAAATCCTTGCAGCTCTCCTTGAGCGTCATTGCCTTCTCATTGATGTGTTCGATTACGTGAAGGTAGACCTCAACTTCCTCTAACAACTTTTGATTAAGACGCACCGAAGACTCGACTGGGCCATCTTCTAACTCCACTATCTTTGTTTTTTCCGCGATCCAATTTTCGGCGTCATCGAATTCACCATTTAGGAAGAGAATATCGCCAACGAATACAGTTTTGACTTTAAGGGAGCTAAGAATTTGACTAAGTAGTCGCCACAATGCAATGAGTTCATAGTTTTGGTAGTCACACTTTGATCCTTCTAAAAGCTCCTCAATCAAATTCACGCAATTTTGATTCGTAGCCATGTCATCTTCAATATACCTAACCTGTCTGTGAATCCGATTAGCTGCTTCGTATGAAAGCTGAAACTCCAATGCTTCAAGGAAACGCATCCTGCTTAGTACGTAGTTTTTGTAACGGGGAATCTCAGGCAATAGGTGCTGTTGCTGATCCACCAATTCGACTTCACGTCTCTTTTCCTCTGCTGATACCATGATCTGATCTGCCACACTAAACCACTCCTTTTCCAGCTCCTCGACGTGGCCACCTCGATGTTTGGCCAAAAGATTATCCACTTGTATACACAATATTTTTATTTCATTATCAGTCGCCTCCATTTTCATAAGAGCGTACTGCGTTTGCTCAAAATTGCTGCCAGAATCGATTCCATCTATTCTATTCCTCAATTCTGCGGCAACCTTCATCAGATAATCAAATTCCGTATCGCGTTCTCTACAAATGATTCTTTGTTGAATAAATAAACGACGACTTTTAATCGTTTCCAGGAGAACCCTCCACTGATTTGTCACGTGTTGGGAACGAGACTGAACTCTATGGTCTTGGAAGTATCGAGAGCGTCTCAATTCATTCGCTATCTCAACAAGCATTTTAATCCGATCCTCATAGGCAAACACATCAGCTTCGAAAGCTTCATGCTTTTTTAAGGCAATCTGAAGAGCATACTGAGTTGATCCAACCAACTCCTGCTCAACAATTTGCTGGTTCTCAAACAACCACGTCTCTCTCATTGTGCACTTTGTCTCAAACTTAAGAAAAAGCTGATCAAGCATTTCTTGCCTTCTCAATTCATCATTCAAATTCAGCCAGCGCTGGTATTCGCACTGTTCCAGCACTTCCCATGCCTTATTTACCTCTGAGATTCGCAGTTGTTTTGGAGGAATATAAACACGCATACCAGCTGCAAGCATTTTATTCCTAATTACAAAAAAAGCCACTTCCAGTTCGCCTTTCTCGTAGAAATGGAGTGGCTTCTCTTGGTTACGGAATTGGTTCAATTCAAACAGTTGGCGCTGGAGACCCTCCAAATTGCCTTGAAGACTTGCATCATTCATGCGTAAGGTACTTTCATGGATCCACCTCATCAGCTTATCAGCGGTTACTTCGTAATCCTTGACATCGTTTATAAAACGTTTCAAAAGATTAATGACTCGTTCGATACGACGTGCGTGCACAGTGTTAGCCTTTTCTCGAGCAAAGTAGTGATAGTAAGATACCAGATAAGTAATAATAGATTTTTCCTCCGGTTCCTCAACAACGATGTCTTCGGGGTCTAGTAGCTTAGGAATTCCAAGACAGCGTTCAGCGGTTGTAAAAGCGATATGTAAATTGCGCAATGGTTCGTCCGGTGAAAGAGAGGTGAAATCAATTAAATCGGGGCGATGTTTGTGTATTAGTGCATTAAAAGCAAGTCCATCACGCCAGCTAGTTGTAAAATTAGTCACTGAAACATTAGAGTAAGCCTGCGTTTTAGCTTTGCACCAAAGCAAAAGAGCTTCAGTGGAATTTCGACGAAGACCAATCGGGTCCTCATAACCGACATGTCTAACCTTTTCGACAACAGAGATGTTTTGAACTTGAAAGCGTAAAATTATGGTCCAGATTAAACCAAGAATGATTCGATTATTGCCATCAACAATGTCGTGTGCTCCTATATTTTCAAGGTGAACGTTTAATTTATCCAGAAACGCGAGTGATTTCTCAACATTTTCCAAACAATGAATCCGCATTCTACCAGGTGTCGGTGTAGGCTAAAAATATTAAATTGTTAAAAGGGCAAACCAGTTTGTAGCCAGATACACGTTCAATAAGTTTGAGAAGGATTCGACCATCACAAAGATCCGTAAAAAGATCCTCAATCATTTGCTGATCATTCCTCAAATAGGCATTTGACCACTTTGTAAACGTTTTCTTTTGAATTCTTTCACGCTCCTCTGCAAAAATGTTTGAACAATGAAGGTCGATTACCTGCTAGGGTCTTAATACGTGTGCGTTCGTACAATTTTCCACCGTTTGTTGGTGGATTGTAGGGATCGAATGCATACTGGGTGCATACTGGCACCTCACATCGCGAGAAAAAATTTGAGGCTTGCAAGGGCCGTGCCAATTGCGTATCCATTCAAAAATAACCAAATCTCAACAATGAGCCTCCAAGCACCGCTCAATATCATGCGGTGAAACACAACCTTGAAATCAACCGAGATTTAATTCATTTAAATGTCCAAGTTGGGCAATCAAATTGTATAGTTTTTTACTTTATTTATAAAAAAATTTTAGTTTAATAAACTGGTTAAAATAATCCTATTCAAAGTAGGCAGATGACATATCCTTTAGTACTCAGCACTTGAAATGTTATCCTCTGGCAGGTGTATATTGTTTGCTATTTATTAAATTAAAGTAATGGCTGAAAAATTCATGATGTTTGGTACCAATGTACAATCGTAGCTGTAATGCTTGTTTTGAAAGCTGCAATGACATTGGGGTTTTTGCTTTTATCTTTCAAAAAGCAAACTTGTTTACATCCGATGCTAGCCACTACCGACTTTTTAAATAATTTTGTTACAGGACCGAACGCATTGACAACTAAATTCTTCGTGTTGTACCGAGCACTTTTGCCCGAGTACGACTCATTGTGTGGGAAAAGCCGAATGTAGGTCAAAGCATTTGACCACTGCAGTGCCGCAAGCATTTTCTAAAAGCTTACGAAGGCATTCCAGTATCAAGGGGATTTTTATCGTTGGTGTATTGAGGAGTTTGGAAATACAGGCATGAATTTCTGAACATGCCGTATAGCCGAAGAGACCGTGGAGCAAATTCGGGTAAACGTATATTGAAAGAACAGTATGTAGGAAACTGCGATCTCCAGAGTTAAAGTAACCTTTTCAAATCTTTCCCTCTGAAGCAAATACTCATAATCTTTACCTCTTAAAAATTGCCAGCATTTTCGAATGTCAAAGAAACGTTGAAATATTTTTAGAAATAGGTACTTATTATTTTCCCTTTTATTTTGAATAACGAGTGAACAGAGGAAATCTAATCGATTTATCTGCGCCGTTTTCTCTTTTATTGTTGCTTCATTGGCTACATTAAAGTCAAATTAATTGCGATATTAATTTAACACAGGAAAGGTTCTACTTCAAAATGACTACCATTTCTTCTGCTAACACTTTCTAACGAATAGCCTACTTTTGTGTTTAGCTACCTGATTATCAAAGTGATAATGGGTCCGTAAGACGAATAAACTTGTGCGATGGTATGCTAATGTTGGAACTTGGTGTAGTATCTACTTGGGAGTGAAATCAGAAGACATTACTTCACCAACTCATAACCGTCTTCACAGTGCATCAAGTAGATAGTTTACGCCAAGTGATGAAATACAGATTTTGGATGTCCTCGTGCTAACCTTGACATATATAATCGTGGGCAGATATGCATCACTTCAAACAACAACGCGTTGCATGCTAAAGTGTGGGAATCACTACAAAGCAGAAGGTATGTTCTAGAAGTTCATTTATCGTGTTTTAGCACGTAGACATTAACTACTGTGTGGTCACATGACCTTAGCCGATATGCTCTATATGCGAAAAACTCTCTGGTAAAAACGTGGTAGCTGATTTCATGGTTGCCATTTTGCGAGATTTATTTGATGAACTTTTAGACCAAAGATTTTAGTTACCACCACCCCTTCGAGGCGTTTTTGACAAATGCCTATAATGTAAATGTAAAGGTAAAACGACGATTGCTACTGAAGTGTGTAATTTTATTTGACGGAATCAAAATTAACCAAAGTGCAGTTAATCATCCAGTTTACTCCAGTATGGCAAGCAGAAAATTCTTGTAATCACCAGAAGTGTCACCCGAGATCATTTTTACGAGTGACTTTTCATAGGTGCTGTCAAATTTGGCCTGAATTTTGCGAAGATCATCCTGAAAAGACAAGCAACTCTTGTTGAATCTCGTAAACTCAATGCATTCTGGAAGTAAAATACTTGTCTTTTTTCACCCATTCTTCCAGGAAGGTGCTTACTTCAGAATGGGCTAAAATTATGCGGATAAGACTGTCGTCGTTGGTTCCCGCGCCCTTCATGCTGCGGTAGAGCATTTCCGCGACTGTGCCAGTAAGATCTTTCGATGCCAGCACTGAAGTAGAAATGTGCATGCGTTGAGTTCAATTCGATGGCATCCTACTTTGTTGAGTTGGTATCAATGTGTGATGTTCTGACGTCTGCTTTCCTACAAATACCAAATCTTATCCATATCATATGAAAGTTTTAGCTGACCCAAATCCCATCTCCTATAAGTGTATTTTATTCTAAACAGTCCCAATTTTCAAGCTACAGTGATGGAGGCTTTGGTTTTCTTTGGAATCGACGCAGACATTTGAGAAGAAAGTCCTACCAATTCGACACAGAGCTTCTTCGTAATCTCCTGAGGTTTCTTTTTTGATTGCTTTGATGAGATCATGACCAGTTTCCTACATTTGCAAGAAACAAAATGCTAAGATTTGGCATTTCAAAAAAAGCATAGTGAATTACACTAGACGTACTTCTTGATAAACCTCGTTGATTATACGGATTTGGTCGTGGCTTCGCGAGCACAGGATTCGCGTAAATGTGGACTCGTCTGTTCCAAGCTTACTAGAACATAAAAGGTTACACACCTATATGCACACAATTCTACATCCATACGTAGTGATATTTCCATCATTCAAAGTGATTCCAAACCTCCAAATATCTCAACCAAAGCCCCTTTAGTTGAAACCTGTAATTTATCTCCACTTAGTCAGCAAGCACAGCATACCAATATATAGGATTATGAGATCAGCCTACTTTGTAGCCTTGAAGTAGTGCCAACTTTTACCCATGCACGATATAAACTTTCTACATAGCTAAACTGTACTTGAGAAACTGGTAGGATAGATGGGCTGAATTCAAAAGCATGCAGTATTATTATGGCCCCATAGTTTGGCTTCGTTTTAGTTGATTGAAAACGGCCTGGTTGGATGATGGAGTCACCACGGTAAAAACTGTTGTTTTGAGCATCTGTGATCGAATTTCCCCAAAAGCATCCACAGGGGGCTGCCATACTAGTCAGGAAACCTAAGAGGCTTGGAGACTCCTCATGTAAATCTTATCATAGCTCACTTTTCGCCAGCTTTGTAGATCTCCATAGCATCCTCATGCGCCTGTGACTCGTTACAGTCGCACTCACGCCTGCCTTGCAAGATCGCCACCAGCACCCGCTTGAAGTCGCCAGAGGTTTCAGACTCCACATCATCTTCCAGTGATTTCTGTGTTACTACAGCAGTAAAGATACACATATTTATGCATAAGAGTGGCCTGAACAATGAATTTTTTTTGTCAAATACTTTACTCCAGTTAAATAAGTTTTTCCAAAATCTGCTTAAACTTTGACGGCAAGTTAGCGGTATGAAGTTTAATCGAAGGCCCCCCAATATGAGTGCCTACTTCCTAAAGTAATTTTTTGTGAATGACACCCTATTTTATTTTAAAGTTCTCATTATACATTTTTGCCTTGTTAGGAAGAGCCGGTGGATGAGAAGGCAGCGAGTGTTATTGTCTCACAGAGAATCAAACTTACTCTCTTCATAGGCTTCCTTTATTTTCTTTACTTCTTTGTTGCTAGCGGTGCAGAGGATGTCGATGAGCAGCTTCTCGTTGGTACCGGCACCCTTCATGGCCTTCTGTAAAGCAGCTGCATTTACGTGGGCGCGATTGTAGAAGGACCACTCTACCGCCTGACGGAATTTTCCGCTCAGCTCTTTGTGCAAATCCTCCTTTAGATCCTACAGTTAGCATAAAATATTAAATTTATTTTCATTGTCATCTCTGCAATGTGTAAAATGAGCTAACGCTGTGCTTACTTGCGTTAGTAGAAAATCAAAAAGCTTATGAACAGAGGCCGTCTGTAAAATATAACCCATCCGGTGAATATTTGTGCAAATCTCTTGCATTATCAAGCTTAAATTGTAAACCGTCACTAATAGCGTTGTGTCTGTTGAAAAATTCAGAGCTAATTTAATTTAAGCACCTTAGCAGCGAGTGAAACCAAAAAATCTAAGAAGGAAACAATCTAATTTGAGTAAAATCTACCTTCCCGAACTGTGCTTTATAGGCATCAGCAATTTCTCGACGTTGGCGGCTGGTGCGGTGTGCGAGAACGTCAATGATGGTTGCCTCATCAGTCCCTTAAACAACGGAAATACATTGAACGGTCATTCATATGGTTTGTATGCAACATACCTATGTAAAAATTTACGGATGATATCGTAAATCTGAGAAATGTACAAAAAGTTTCGTATCTGTATAACCAATAAGTGGTTTTAAAGGCAAATTAATGTGCGATAAAGCTTAATAATAAGTTAGTTTACCTAATCCTTTCATGGCTTTTTCAAGTGTTTGGGCATCCGTGTTGGCATCGAAATTGCAGCAAGGCTTGACAGTCGCCATCACTTACACGTTAGCGGTTAGAAGCTGAAATGAAACGGCACGAGGGTTACTCCACACATGTGAATGCTCCCGGGCGCCATCCACTCACACACAAGGTGAGGTCTCATGTTAGAGGCGAAGAGGTGCGACACGCGCCAGCTCTCTGACAGGCATCAATTCTATGTTAGGCAGTCAGACAGAGACATTGTGTGAAAGATGCTTTTAATGAATTTGCTACCTTTTCGGCTGTATATCAACTCATTAAAGAAGTACCTTGGTTGGAGGATTTAACGTAAAAGTTGAATGTATTTATCCATTCATGTTAATTAAACAAGTCTATTAAAGCACTCTGACACTAAAGGCATTCGTTTCTTGTAAGAAAGAATAAGGAAAGACAGTAAATATCAAATTCCAAAGAGGTGGATTATATTTTGCAAACAAATACATAAAATGTGTTAAATATGCGCTAAATTATCATGATGTGAGTTTTATAAATCAAATTTTTACAAAGAGGCTGCGGTATCGAATGTCAATTACTAAGTAAATAAACCGACTTAACAAGAATTGGAGCAACGAAACACTGACTCAACGGATGTGTTGCGATGCTAAGGTACCTTATGCCGCTGTTTGTGCAACCCGAGAGCCAAGGGTGATTGGTCTCCGGCCTGTTTGTGTGCCACTGCGTTCATGTAGCCAAAGTGAGTAACCCGGTGTGTTTCGCATGCCATTGTATGAGCGTGTTTTAGAAATTGGTCCTCTCCAACATTCGAAAGTTCGACTGCTCGCACAAGCCACTCTGGCTATCACTTACGTCGATGAATATGTTTTTGCTGTTTCGAATTCATGAATGCTCACCGGTATCTGTAGTGTACTCAAAAGCAGCTGTTCACAACATCGTTAATTTTGTTTTTATTTCAAATGGAATGTGCATTTGTCATTTCTTATGAGTTGTTTTCTGCACATGCAAAATGCTTGTTTGGCAATCAAATTTAAGGCTGGGTAGGCCAAGTGAAAATTCGACTCATAATTGTACGGTGGGTTCATGGAGGTCCAAATCATCAAACGACCATATAAACAGGATAAACCTTTAGTAAATCTTAACCATTCACGAAGTGTCTTCAGGTTACCAACTATGCCTAAAATGGATTTATTGGAGCTGGTTAGTTTAAAATACGAATAGAAGCTAACATCACCAACAATTCAATCGAAAGGAACGTTATCCATGATTGCTAATTAGTTTTTTCACATTTTGGACCATATCTCCTATAAGTGACATCATTACTACATCAAATGGTCTAAAAACACTAAAGTATCAGATAAGAGTCCTTATGAGCACATGAAAGTTAATTAGGGGATACAATCTGCGAAAAGCCGGGACACGTATGCATCAGCTACCACTTCAATGCCGGAGTGCCTACTGAGAGCATGGATTTCGTATGCATCTAAAAAAGTGAGAAGGTGAAAACAGAAATGTGCCTTTCAAGTGCAGAATTCATCTAGCCTTTGTACTAATCATTTTCGAGAATAATCCTTAGACAAGGCGACACCCACAATTCATTGTAGTGTCACCATATGCTGAAGCAAGCGGGTTTGCCCTCACCTACAAGCAGGCAATGTGGCCTATTCTCTTCGTACATCAAAGTGTGCCCCCCAACTTAGCTTCGCATATTGCCACCGCGGGACAGATTTAAGAATGCTGCTGAAGTTACCGCTTTTTTTAAAATTACCATAGGACTAGAGATCTGAAGCTGCTCTAAAATCTCTAGGACACGTCCGTGGAATGGAATACACTTCCATTTTAGAATTCAATTTTTCATTTGCCATCAACTAAGCAAAATATTTGGTAAAATTACCGATCAAAATATAGTGCGCTAAAAAATTCTATTACATTTCTCAGATTAGTAAAAAACTTGGAAGCAAATCATGCAAAATACGAAATTGGTATTTGATCCGCAATGGTAGCTCTAAATTCCGTGCAAAATGCCAGGGCTCATCAATCCTCATCTTGTTCCAGGATTGCGAGAAGAAACTTCCTGTAATTGCCAGAAGTATCACCTTTGACCATTTCCGCCAGCGTTTTGCCGTAATTCTCTTCAAAGAGTTTCTTCAGTGTGGCCAGATCGTGCTGTAACAAAGGCGAAGTAAAGCAGCTATTTAGCCAGCTGGGATCGTCAAAAGACCACTTTATAAAACTTTTGCCCAGTCTTAGGTTAAATGCAAAAGAGGTTTCTTCCACTTCTCGGGATTTCTTCAAACAAAACGAAATGTAGGAAGAAGTCAATAGCCATTGAATTACCTCAGCATGGGCCAGCATAATTCTAATGAGACTGTCATCGTTGGTACCCACACCCTTCATGCTTTTGTAGAGCATCTTAACAACGGTATCGTCGGGGTCTGTTGCTGTTTCCACTAGGATAATATGAGGTAACAAAAAATTGAATTGATTGTCATTTTATTGAATGACTCATTAAAATTTTGAACGGTAAAAATTAGTCAGTTGTGAATTATTCACCGCTTTACATAATCATTTGAGGCAGTAAAAATTCGCTTTGTTCCATTTGTTAAGGAGCCCCAAAATGATTTTCTCAATAAAATTGAACTTATTTAATGCTCAAAACTCACTTATACGTGTTAGGGCCATCTTGTAGTCACCCGAAGTTTCTTTTGCAATTGCTGCAATAAGATTGTGCCCGTAGTTCTTTATAAAAGAGAAAATGTCAGAGGCATTGCCTGAAAACAGCCCAAGCAGATCAGAAATTGTCTACAGCGACGTGAAATCACTTTCATTGTGGGATATCATTTACGGGCAATTCAACAGCATAAAGATGCTTAAGATTATGAGATGTGAAAGGTAATGTCCACTGAATTTTTCAATTAGATGAGTTTAACCGCAGGGATTTCCAACTGTGGCAGAGAGGAACAGTCTATTTGAATATACTTCTCTTCTACACGCGAGAGTGCATGGCCGAATGTGGCCATCTGTGTGTATGCGGTATCCTTAATCCCCACTGTGGTCAGTCGCTGATCAGGAATTAATCAAATCTCGCCAACTTATGAGCGCCGTCATCACCGATCATTTGCTCGCCTCGAGTGCCTCAAGTGAATGTTTTGAGTAGGGACACAGCCAACATTCCATCATGTGCTTGTGCTGCGGCGACTCGCACGGCCAGTCTGCACGCGTACTTCCCAGCAAACACTGCGGCGGTTATTTTTGCGGTACCGGTTTTGTGCAAACTCTTAGCCCCGATCACTCCTTTCAATGGTCTGCCGCATTATGTGTATGTTGGAAATCGTCAATCAACAGTGCTAACTGACTACTCTGCAATTTTACATGTTAGTAAGTCATTAGCTAGACGCTGACGTTATTATGCCTCTTATTCAAAACACGCATCATCTGCAGAATCACATACCTGCTAAAGTTGGAGTGTGCATGAAAAGTCAACCCACCTCACTGTAAATCTCGTCTATTTTCCTCAGCTGTTCCCAACTTCGAGTGCATAAAATTCGCGTGAAAGTGCTCTCATCTGTCCCACGTTTTCTATAAATTCAAACAAGATGTGAGCATATATGTTATTTTTGAGATTACAGCCCACTTGGTCAAATTGCGCATCTCAACATCAATATGAGACTTGAGAACTCTACTGGGTCTGTATTACCACTGATTTTACTAACAACTGAAAGCTTTTAATTGTTTTTGTATCGAACCATATAGCAGTTGGTTGACAAAATTATTATCGCGAAGTGAGTACAAGACTGATAACTTACCCCACACCAGCTTGATAAAGTTCAAAAGAGTCACTTTTCGCCTGATCCTCGTCATAGCTTTCCTCTCTACTTGCCTGGAGCAGAGCAATGAGCACCTTCTGGAAGTCGCCTGACGTGTCATCCTTCACATCTTTCTCCAAGTTCCTACTAGAAGCTTGAAATATTAATGGAACATGACAGTAAAGCCTTTTGCATTCATAATAGAAATCAAGTTTAAGTTAAGATCATAGGCAACTTACTATTCTTCTTATTTTGGAGTAAAACTAAAAATCACAAAAAAAGTGGTAGGTGACAGTAGCTAAAATTGTTCCCCAACGCCAATTTGATCTATCTAGTTAAAAGCTAGTGCGATAAAAACATAACATTTCCTATGGCATTGTTACTCACAGAAAAAGTTTAACGTAAGTCAAGAGATTGTAGACCAGGAACAATTTCAATGGACAACATTCTTTAACATGTGAGTTATACATTACCTTTGATTTTTCGTGGTTTAAGTCTATGATAAAACGGTATTGGACGTTTGGTATCATTTGGAAGGTTCGATTACCACCTCGTCTGGCCAATGTAGCCATTCGAAAACTCGTATCTTATGTGTCGTCCGTAGCAGGACCATGCACGCAATCACTCTACTACTAGTGGATAATCCTTGGGGTTGTAGGAAGGAAGGGTAAGCACAGCTTAATGGCCT